ATGCGCGTCTGCATCGAATTCGATTGCATTGTTTTCTGTGCTTCCATTTTAATTCATTGGAATACGAGGGTTCAGGGTATCCCCTAGTCGGGAGTTCCCGATTAGACCCTCTTGTTTATATTATTTAACTAGTCTCCACATGATAGTTATATACGGAACAAAATGTTGCTTAAATTATCTTTACAGGGTGTCTACTAGTGAAATCCTTTACCATGTTTTAGTTTTCATCTTCAAACAAAAATGTCAAATGCTTGCCGATTTGCCGGAAGCGCTGGCACAAGGCGCTGCTAATTGAGAGTATGTCGCAGGCTGATTAAAGTGAATTTAACAATGGCTAAATGGAATCATTTTAAGGCCTCAGAACCCTTCGGCTATCGATCATAGTTGCCGCCTTTGGCTGCACTTAATTTCACATTTAAGCGGCGACGTAGAAGCTACTCTCATAAATCACGTGACGAGGGGAGACCAGAGTTTGCGAGGGAAAGAGAGAGAGAGAGAGTGCGAAAAGCATTAAAAAATATGTTACATAATTTGTTCGTAATACAAATTTTTAAAAAGTACTGCGCCAAGCACAAAAAATTCACTTTATAGGCTTTCAAGCAGAACAATGCAGCACAAAGGCGTGCAAGGGAGTCTACTGAAGGTAGACAAATGGTACGCGTTAAGGGTCCCATTTCAGTTTCGATTGATTGCAATTCTATACTTCATCTCGTTCTACTAAACTTGACATAACTTTTAGCTAGAGAATCAACAAGTTTAAGTTAAATTTATTAGAGAAGCTCTTTATATATAAAGCAGAGGTATTATATAATATTATTTAAGATAGTTTTGGTTGACTCACTACTTACATAAAGTACGTGGTTAGAAAATATGTTAAATACACTTAGCTTACCACAATGTTTAGACACGAATAACAGGCGCGAGCGAGAAGAATTACATCGAAAATCTCAAAATTATATTTGGGATTGCATATGTTTATTTAATTTGTATAGACGATGGAAGACTGGAGCTAATAAGCAGACATAATGCCTGGTTTTGTAGGCTTATACTTATAATAAACTTTTAGCTGTTCTTCTCTCACATTTTATTTGAAATAAATTATAGTTTGTTTTCAGACTATCTAGTACCCTATATTTCAAGAAAACGTTGCCAAGGCCAAATAAATGAAAAAATCTTTAAGGTAATAGTTATTCATAAAGTGCATATTTAAGTTAATTTTAAGTGAGTGATAGCTTATTGAGGCGGGTTGGCAGCCCCAGTTGCCGTCATATAAACTGTCATGCAATTATTGACTGGCCCACTTGTCAAACCAAAAAAACATATAATAATGGAAAAAATATAAAAAATGGTAACAAGATTTTTTTATAAATTAAGCGCATGCGAGCAACGCACAAACAGAGCAACAACAATTGTGTGCAGTTATCAAAAAGTAAGATATGAACGCCAGGCAATGCAAACATGCAAGAGACAATATTTGTTTTGGTTCAAAAATTACACGATTGTACGATAATTAATTGGCCTCGACGCTATTTTCGATAGGCACACACACACACACACACACACACACACATACACATATATCCATACAGGAATACTTATATAAGCTATGATACTAAGGCTAGCACGCTACTAAGTTCTTTCTCACATAGAGCACTGGCCAAAGCACAGAGAGAGGGAAAGAGAGAGATTGAGAGTGTGAGACAGATAGAGAGAAATTTGCAATATAAATATATATATATTTTATATTGAGAGCTAGACAGAGAAAGAGAGAGAGAGAGAGAGAGAGAGCGTTGCGATTAGACGTTTAGACACCAATAGTAACAAATTATGAGCAGATATTTTTTGAAACGTTAAAATTTAGACTGTACCTAATTCTCGCTTGGAGTTATCTATAATTTTTGTTTGACAATCGCGTTGCACATTACATTATGGCAGTGGGGTGAGAGAGAGATACATAAAAATACAGAGCGCATGATAAATTGTGATTTCATGTCGCGTACCTGTGTTGGGGAAAAAATTAAGAGTAAGGTGTAAAGTGTGTATGTGTGTGTACTTTTTAGAACTAATTTTTTTTTTACTTTTGGTGCGTGCCTCAAATATTGTAATAAGAGAGCGAAGGCAAACAGATAGAGTAAAAAGAAGAAAACGATAAGCAATTTGTATTATGTGTGTGTAAGTGTGTTTGTGTTAAAGAATAGCTTAAGGATGAGCGCATTTTCCATTAAGCGCTATTTTTTAGGTGCCACAAGATGTCCATAAAACATAATATATTATGAAAAGTATAAGATATGTGAATTCTTAATGCACAATTTGCATCATCAGCCATTTTAACAATATTGCCTCATAATCCGAAAAGTATGCTATGGTCAGATTTTTGATCAACCTCTAAAAAAATGCACAAAGAATTAAGTTTAAAATAAACCAATGGAAGAAAATGTCAATAATGTTAAATTCATAAATAACTCATATATAGGTTTATTTTGGCATAACATAATACATGATAGAAAGATTTATGTATTACTTGTAATGAACTGATTTTAACGGTTTTTTTTTTTTTTTTAAGTTAAGATCGGTTAAGAAATTTTGTACATATGGATGGGCCGGCAAAGCTAAACTTAAAGGCTTGCTAAATCTACTTAATCACAGTTTCTTTATAACGTATTTATATTATTTGGTTATAAGTAGATAGTACGCCAGCTCCGACTTACCCAGAGTGCTGCAAAAAAACTTACAGAACCCCGAACTAAAACAGGAAGAATAAAGAAAAACCCCCAAAAACCTAATTTTTAACTTATGCTAGCGCGTACACGATACACGATACGGTGTATACGGTGTTTTCTTTTTTGTTGTATTGTTATTGGTTTTGTTTTTCTCTTTTTCGTTTTTGTATTTTTAGTTTTTAGCGCTTGCTTCAACATGTGAATGTTCCACAAAAATTCAATAAAACCTTTTCGAACCGAAATTAAAATGCTGCATTTCAATTTGTGGCAAAGTATTTTGTTTTCGCTTTGGCGGCCCATTTGGATTGTCAAAGCGAAAAGAACTTTTTTATACTTTTTGTAAAACATTCAAATTTTATTGGTTTTTTTTTTTTTAGATCTTTTCAGTTTTGCTTAGCGTATGTTGGTTTGGGTTTTTTTCTATACTTGGCTTTGTGGAACAAATTTCGCAATTGAATCAAGTTGAGCTCCTAGATCGAAAACGGGAATGAGAGGCAAGTAAGCTTTACAGAATCATTTTGGGAAAACTTGATACCATTTATCATATTTATATATATTTTAATGCGTACTTTTGCTTATGTGTTTGTGTGTTTCTTTTGATTTACTATTTTTTTTGTTGGTGGTTTGTTCTGGTTGTTAGTTAATGTTGCATACTTTCTTTTTGTTTATCATTGGATTTATTGATTTGTATGTTGTGTGTATTTCGATTTGTATACGTATGACTACAACTTAAATTGAAGCTTTAAGATGAGCGTAAACTATATATGTATATATAGAAACCATAAACTCAATTGTTATCAAATGCATCATATAAATACGCACACAAAATATTAGAACAATGCAATTAAACATTTGCCACTCATATATTAGTTTAGTTTGTGGCTTTCGACTTGTTGAGTTGCCAAATTGATTTATGCTAATCACTGCACTGATGTTATGTTAATTAAGCCGCCGGCATTTGCATGCGGTAATAAACGCACTAATTTATGGCAAATTTTCAGCACACGTGCGGCTACAACACAGGTGTGGTTCAGCGTCAGTCAAAATAGATTAGGGCTGCAACAAATTCGAATTTATTTTAAAACTGCTACCCTTAAAAATTGTTTAAGAGTTGCTTAATTTGTTTAAGGGCAATAACAAAATACATGAATAATATTATTTATATTTATTCTAACTTTGCTTACTTTCGCGTAGTTGGCTAAAGGTATTTAAAAATTAGCAAGTTAACTGAAGTTTCTCAAGTTGAAGTTATGAAGATGATCGGGGTTTTTCTTCAAAACCTTGGAAATTCTTTAATGTGACTGATAAATTCCCACGTTTTTTTCAGAGTCTAGAACTATTGAGAATAGCGATTTTTTGTTCTTCCTTCTTCCTTTTTACCACTAAACATATAACCTTGTGTCTCTTATATCATATATCATTGTATTTATTTAACTTAACAAAATCGACCTATTATTTGAAGTTCTTTTCAGTTTTGCTGATAGAACCCTATGAATAGATATAGCTACACATACTCATATATATTGCCATAGAGTGCATTAATTTTTTTAATTAAATAAAATATTTTGTGTGCGTTTAGTTTTCATTTTATAATTAGATTAATGGCATTTTGATGACAGTCTGACATTGTTCCGCACGTGTAACTTAAGTTGATTTGGCAGCTACAAAGGGAAGTGGGTGAAATGAATTTGTACATACTATGTACACGGGTCGTTCAAATCAAAGCAATGAAAATGCCTGTAAATATTCAATGCACTCTTTATTCTTCTTCTTGTATCGTAGGCAAATTTCGTTTGGATACGGCCTACTGTTTTGCAGTTTATGAAATATTTAAGATATTTTATTGGCTTTTGGCATAATCAATAAAAATAAGACAAAAAACAATAGGTGGAACAAAAGACACACCAAATGGAGACCAACAAAATATTTTAAATATTCTATATGCAAATGCGTAGACGAAAGCTTAACACAAATATATATAATAAATACACTTGGAAAAAATGTGTGTAATTCATACATTTGCTGAGAAAAAATTACAGGCAAAGCAATGGACTAATTTACAGGCATTTTCATTGTACTTTCAAATTACAACCAACTGCAAGACGGCAACGTAATGGCACAACGTTGATGCGTTTGCAGCAATTACGTAAGTGTTCAATACGTTGCACATACAAAAATTAAATAATAAAAAACACGTTACGGCAATAAGATAACTCATGTTGCATGTGTATTTTGGATTGTGAATCGAATGGGAGGAAATATCATTTTATTGTCACTTACTTCCGGCGGTGGCGGCGGCGGCTCTGGCTGTGGCGCCGGTGGCGTTGTCACGTATGTGTTTTTCTAGTTACGCAATTTATAAAAAGAGTTACGTAAACGTAATGTGATAATAGATTTACGTATTTCGCAACGACATCGAGACGCAAATAGAGGAGTGTGGATTTTGAAACGTAAAAAACGTAAAACATAGTTCGTAAAAATCATTTGCGTGTTTTTTGTTTTTCGTGTCATGTTGGGAATGTAGCGTAACGCACATTACGTATGCGTAGCACGTTACGTAAGTAGCAGCAAGCGAAAGTGACAGCGCGTTTAGAATAGAGTAGAATAGAATAGAATATAATAGATGTTTGTACGAGAATTATGTGGGTGTGAGAAATAAAAACATAAGCATTTAGTTATTCTAGTGTGAGTAACGCTTAAATAACTTGAGGCATAGATCGTTATTACAGATTAATGCGCCAAGTTTGAAAATATAAATTAAATGAGTTTTGTTTTTCACTAGAATCACAAAACGAAACAAAAGATCGTGTGTTGTTTTGAGTGGGTGTTAGTCAAATTGATTGATGTGCTTTATATTTTTTGTTATGTAGGTAATTTGTATTTGATATTTCATAGCTCGATTTTTTACTAGTTGATTTAGGTTTAAGTTGAGTTTATGTGGGAAATAGTTTAAGCGTTTTGCTTAGTAATTGTTTATATAGTACTACTGGGCTGGTTACTTTAAGGGGTTTAGGTGCAACGTGTGTGGTAGAAAGATCGCACTATATAGTTGCTTATTTTGCTGTTTGTGAGTGGAGTGAGTGAAGAGCTATACACGTTGTAGTTTATTTATTTGGATAGAGAGAGGGAGAGATAGTACTCAGATTATTTACTTTAGAGTTTTTTTAAAGCTGGTGCAAAGTAGGTGAAAGTAGTGGTTGGCTGGGTAAGGGGTGGTTGTGCTGTGGGGCAGTATAGAAACTACATTTAAAGCTAGCTGTTGTGGGGTGACAGACAGAGATAGATTTATATAGATAGGGTAATTGATTATAGATCATTTATAGAATTATAGTACTTTTATAGATAGATAGAGAGTTGGCAAGAGGTGGAAAAAGTAAGAGAGAGAGACAGAGAAAGAGAGAGAAAGAGAGAGAGAGAGAGAGAGAGAGACAGAGAGAGAGAGAGAGAGAGAGAGAGAGAGAGAGAGAGAGAGAGAGAGAGAGAGAGAGAGAGTAAAAGCCTTAGGCGGACAAAGAAGAGGTGGTAGGGTGATGTGACTTAGAAGTAGAGCAAAAGCGCTAGATATATATATATATATATATATATTATAAGTATTTATAATTGAAAAATAGGTGAAAATAAGCTAATTGTACAGCGCATTAGTTAGTTGGCTGGCAGAGCGCTCAGGACTTGAAACATCTATCTATCGTAAGTTTCATATATATGTATATGGAATATTATTCACTACAAGTCGAGACAGAGCAAAGTTAGGTAGGTTCCAAAGCAGTTTATAGGTCTAATTGGTTATATGCTTTCAATGCCAAACAAATTTGGGGCGCACGCTAAAAACTTAACTGCAAGAAAAGATTGGAGAAAAACTAGTTAAACCTAGAGTAGAACTTGTGCTTCACCTCTAGGCACACTACAAAACTAAATCAAATGCTCTGTGGAAACAAATTTTTGGGGGAAAGGGTATGAGAAAATCAAAATGGAATGTGTCTTGGAGAGAGGGAGAGAGACACACATAGAGATAGAGAGAAATAGCGACAGAGGGAGAAGTACAGTAAAGGGAGATAGTTTGAAAAGATAGTCAAATGGTAAAGAGTTTGGGCTAATTTTAGTATTTGGTTTAAGAGTATTTCGTTTAACTGGATATGGGTAAAAAATTGTTGGGATGGGGGCATTAGAATTTCATTTTAGCTGATGATTTTCATTTGACGGCTTTTTAAAGAGAGTTTTGCGCTCGTTGCTTTTTCGTTGAGATAAGTTCAATTTATAGATAGAAAGCAATTGAACTGATTTTAAGTACTTTGCCTTTCTATTATTTATAGAGAGGGAGAGAGAGTGTGGTATATTATAATTAATTATAGTTCTTTTGATTTTTTTTGTTTTTGGTATTTTATATTATTACCCATGACTCAGGTGGATAACGAGGAAATGGAGCTATTTCTTTAGTTGCTACATTACTAGGCAACTCAAGTCTTCCACCTAATTTTCGTAGCTTTCTTCTTCTCGCCACCCGAGATTTCGATCTTAGCATCAATGCGGCCTGCATCTTGTTTGTTGTTGTTGTTTTGCTTGTTGTACGGGTTTAAACTGTCAAAACGTGTGTTTGCGTAAGCCTTTTTAACGTCAACGTCAGTACGAAATCAATGGGATGATACAGGTTACGTTTAGGAGCTTAAAAACGTCAAAACTAAAAGTCACGTTAACAATACCGAGTTCAAGTTCCGTCAATCAATCGATTTGCATGTGCCAACACATAATTGCGTAACAAATTGTCACGTTAACGGTTACGTTATGCGCACAGCCATAATAACGTACGAAATAAATAAAACGTAATATGAGCGCACGTTCGATTAGGCACAAGGAGGAGGATTATAGAAATATATATATGTATATAGAAGCAACGAGTATTTAAGTATAAATATTGTTTTTTCTCTAAGTGTTGTGCTGTTATTGTTGTATAGTTGGTGTTGAGGAACTGCGTCAGTGTTGTGGTCCTGGCGCAGTTGAGTGGCGGGCGGAGGATGTGCTGCGTTGAATCGCAAGTGGTCGGCTCTACTTTCTAGCTCCGTTACGTCGTTGTCGTTGTGTCCATCGATGACTTATGCGACCTGATGTTACGTTGTCCCAGAATGGAGGCTGCTGTTACCGTTATGATGCGCGCACTTGACGTAACGACACGTAACGAGATGATGTTTCAACAAGTTGAGATGACGATGACGTGAGTTGATTGTTGGGCGATTTTAAGTTTTTCGTCTATTGTTTAACCGTTACGTAGCGTAACGTAACGCGTTACTGTGTTGTTACGTTGCGTTCACGTCACGCAGCAACGTATTCGTCGGTGATTTCATTTTCGTTTGTATTTTGGCATTGAAAGCTTTAAACATTTATTGATTTCTATATATTGACATCGGCCTTTCGCGTAACGTTAACGTAAGCGCACTATCGCGTAACCATAATTGATTGACCGACTGAGTCTTTGCATTTCCCAACTAAACTACAGCTAATGCGTTAGTAGAAAAATTATTATTGGTATTAATTCGAGATTTTTCTTAAATCCTATTGTTTAACATACATTGGTTGTTTCTTTTTGTTTTACAGTATTTTTTAAGCTACGTTTTCAATTTACGTTTTGCATGTAAATGAAAGAAGGCAATGTCGTTGTTTTTTTTTTTTAACTAATTCCTTTGCTGTTATTCAATGTTTCATGTTCGATCACATATGGTACGTTTGAGTTTTAGTTTTCATCTATATTAACCGTTTCTATACTAGTAGAAAATATATTTAAAGCTTTGAACGGAGTTCTCCAATGGTCAACTACGTTTTTTAATTGGTTTTATTATACGATTTGATTTGTTTTCTTCGCTGCAAGTTGCTGTCATGTTGATTGAGAATATATTTCCATTTTGTTTTATAGTTTATTTTAGTTTACATAGTTCATATCACATATGTTACAGTTAATTTTTTCTTAATTTTCAGAGCTGTATATATAGTTTATTCATGAATAGTAACTATTAGCCTTGCAAAACTTGCTATGAATAAATTAAAGTAATTGTTGTTTAGTTGAGTTTTTTATCTTATATGTTTGTGTCCATTTTAAATCAAGCCAAAAGCCGGTATAATTTACAAACATTACCAAGCACAATCTTCAATCGAAAGCTGTCAATTATTTATTGACTGCATATTTCAAAGAGGATTAAAATTGACAACATGACGTCTACGTGATAGAAACAGAGGAATTAAAATGGAAATTCAATTAGGTAACGCTGCAGTTGCAGAAGGATAAGGCAAAGATTAAAGCTCCAAAATTATATTCTGAACAAATTGAATTGAGAAGCTTATGTATATATTAAAGTTAATAATATTATTCAATATTTGGTTTTTACTATAAGCCTATCAATAATATTTATTTGTAGTTGACACAATATGTGCTTGTTAATTAATTATATTTATATTTGGTTTACTATTGAACTATAATGTAAATTTTACATTTTACGTTCATATTTTTTATTCTATTTTATTCTATTTTATTTTATTTTATTTTATTTTATTTTATTTTATACTTTATATTTTTTTCTATTTTATTTAATATATTACATTTTATTATTTTTTAAGCTTTAATTAATATTTTATAATATATTTTGATTGAGAATGTTTTTAATTATTCAATTATTTCTATTTCAAAAATATTTAAGCCGTTAAAGCTCCCGCTTTACGTTTTGTTATTCAAATTATAATAGTCTATTTTAATTGTTATGTATTGTTAAGATTTTCCTTAAATTCTGACACTCATCAATATTAATTTATTACTCTAACAGCCTTTAAACTAGTTTCAACGGCTGCTCAAAAATAATTTCCATCAATAAATATTTTCTCGAAAAATATATAAATGTGAGAAATAATTTATTATTCGACTTGAATCAATTTTCAGCTCATTCGTACTCATATTCACATGCAGAGCTTTCATTTGCTTTTTCAAAGCTGAAAGACGAATCAAGTGCAAGGTTTTGCATGCTGTTGGCAAATCTCGAGGAAAAATCTTGTGAGTAATGCAAACAGAGCAAAATATTTATAACCAAAACTCGAATAAGCCATGTTACAGCACTACTAAGCCATAATTCAAATGCCAGCCCAAAAGAGATGCAGCTTCTAAGCACACGTATGTGTGACTGTGTAAAAGTGTGGGACGTACTATAAGCATGAGTATTTCAGAGACCATTTCGCGGCTCTGAAAAATCACAAAAGTAGCAGAGCAACTGTTACAGCTGCTGGAATTCATATGCAAATGCATCAGTAGCAGCGGACGAGGCAGCAGCTCTTTTGTTGTTACTGTTTTATTTATTCTTATTTTTTTTTACCATTACTGAGGGTATTACAATTTTGTTAAGAATCATGTAATGCAATTGCGACCCCGTATATATATTCTTGATTGACAGCAACAGCTGAACTGCCTACGTTCATTCGTTTCGAAAAAACTTTTCTTTTCAATTATTTTCACCTACCTCAACAGAAACGAACTTTACTACGCTCGAATATATCAGAAAGTTCATATCTTTTATATGCCGAGAAGGGTATTTATTATTCGACATCATGAAGATAGCTGTTCTTTACTGATTTTTTTCTTGGTAGCTTCGTAGCTGGAAGCAAGTTGGTGGCGTAACGACTGAGCGAAACTGGCAACTGCAAAAACCCAAAAATTTCAATAATTCAACAGCGCAAAGCGGAAAAAGTCACTCGTTGAACGATGCAGATGAAATTTTAATGAAATACAGATTCATGATACACATACACACAGCAGCATTGCAGTCAGGGCCGTTAATAGACAATAACATGCCGCACAGAGACCCACACACACTTACACATATTCATGCACACAACATCTGACATAACAAAAGCTGTTCACTTGCAACGCCTAAAAGATTGCAACATTTTTGCAATTAAACCCAGACACACAGACAGACTGCCTGCTGGGTTTTTGGCACTGGTCTCTCCACATGTTGCAACTACTGTTGTCGCTGTTATTGTTGTTGCTATTGTAGCAGCAACAATGTCACTTGCTGACAACATAAGCGCATAAAATATATTATGAAAATTAATTTGCCAAATGATTTTCGACAATGTGTGCGTGAAGAGATACTCGCCATGTTGCAATATACTTATATAATACTAGCGGGTATAGCCCGGCCTTGTCAGTGGCACGTAAAAAATGTTCTCAAAAAGCCTTAAGAATGATTTTGAAACAGATCGAACGGTAAATAAAAAGCTTTAATACAAACGTTTTCCTCCAATTTACCACTGTTGCGGGTGGAATTCCCCAATTCGTTAAAACACGTATTCATTAAGTTTTTATGTATATCTTAAAAAATAACTTTGAAGCTAATCGAAAAAAATTAAAACTTTTTACCGAGGATGCTTTGATTCTGTAGAAAATGTAAAACAGGTCTCAAATGATATTTCTTATGGATCCTTGGAAGTGAATTTAGGCGCGAAACCACAAAATTTTTGAAGCCCATTTCCAACATTTAGTTTGAGGCCGATCCGATGGTTAAACTTTCATACCAACGTTTTTCGCTAATAAGCCATTGTTTCCCAATCGCTGGAATTTCCCAAATCGCTGTAAGTCGAGTTCTTTTGGAAAGCTTTGACAATAAGTTTAAAGCAAATCGACCAAAAAAGTCTTTGAATCGCATTTCTACCGAAGGAGTTTAGATATTGCGAAATATTGTGAAACATGTCTCAAATGATTTTTCATATAGAGCTTTAAAAACAAATTTGAGCGCAAAACTTCACCCACCAAATCTTTGACCCCCTTTTCCACCAAGGGGAAATACATTTTTAGAAAAGTGTGAAACAAGCCTCAAATGAATTTGAACAAAGAACTTTGAAATTGAGTTTGAGGCTAATCGGATGGTAAACAAAAAAGTTTCATACAAACGTTTTTCCCGACTTTTCCATACTTGCGGGTGGAATTTCCCGAAACCCCGTCTTATGGTTTGGGCTGTGCGTTGATCACCAATCAGTCAGTCAGGACAAACAGTTTTATGTATAGAGATGAATACATTGTTTCCCATACATTTTAAAAACACGACTCGCACTTAACCTGACTGTATGTAATGGGCCAATTGTGTTGAATGCATTAAAGCTGACAAGTTTTTGAATTTATTAAAATTCCTTTAATGTAAAAATCAAGAGATGAGGTAAAGCCAAAGACAATATAAACACTTTATATATTTTATATTTTCTTTGGTAAAACCAATGGGACAGCCACAACAAAATAATTATAAAGTGCAGCAAATTGAATGATTATATAGAAAATATTGTTGTTAAAATGAATAATGTTTTTTTTTTAATTTTTTATTTAAAAAAAAATTCTTTAGCTTTGAGGGTTTCTTAATATAAGGTAATCCTTTCTTAATGGGAGAAAACAGTTATAGAAGGTGTCTAATATCCTTCCTACTTATAAAATTGAAAAAAAAGGACAGATTTAAGGAATGACAAATCAGTTTCCAAATGAAGGTGAATAATAAGTATTACTTAAACTAGGTGATGCTAAGTGTTAAATCCCCTTTCAAATCGTCTGATATGGCAATATTTTATATTCGCTTTTTCATAATATTCTTCAATTAAATTCTTATCTACTGACTTAAGTCAAACATTACAGACTGAAACTTGCCCAGGCTTTCCAAAGGAACTTATGGAAAAAGCTAACTTTTTCAAATGTAAATTTTATGATGGCCGCAAGCCAAAGTCAACTTTCACATTTAAATGCGGTTGCACTCTGGAAGGTAAATCAATAACAGCTCAAAGGTTGCGGCTTACATATGCAAAAATTGACCATAATAAACGCAGTTGAGAGCCCATTAGACGCAGCCGGGCCCAATGGGAACGTGTTGCACGATGGGTCGGTCTGTCGACAAAGTTGCAACCCGTTGGCCAATTAATGCGAACTGCAAACAGTCATACTCTACTGGAGAATTCAGTATTCAGTATTCAGTATTCAGTTCTCAGTATTCAGTATTCGCATTCGTCTCGATATTGGCAACAATTTTGGCACTGCGCCCGCTTTCTTGTTCACATGACTACCGGGCGGGCCGCGAGGGTGCTCAGAGTGCCTTGTCTACAGGTAATTAAAGCTGGTGAATCGTCTCGACAAATTTGCATATGCCACATGCCGCTTGCCACACACGTGAGAAATGGCAACTGTCCTCGATGAAAGCCATGCCATATTTGACTGTCCAAAGCAATCTTCCGTGTGAGTGTGTATGTGTGTCTGAGTCTTGTATGGTGTGGCGTATATTGATTGTTATTTATTCAAAAGTATGAACCAACCGTTAATTGAGCCATTTGCAGGCGTTTGATTAACGGTTAATCGAAGCCGTTTATAATATCGCAAATGGGAGGCAAGTGTTCCCAAATTCGAATGGCCTTCAATATTCGCACATTCAACTAGTATTTTAATCTTTATTTGCCCTGATTTTTCTAAGACCTTTTATAGAATATGTCAAATGGAGAAAAGTTTTTCCAAATGGAGTTGAGAATTTTTTTGATACATTTTTCTAGAAAATAATAATCTTTACTAATATGCCCGTCATTTTGAACAAAAACAAAAATATTGTCGGTATATATGTTTTAAAAATTTCTGAAAGTTTATTTGCTTTTAAGGGTATCCATATTGTAAAGTCTCAATTAAAAAAAACAGCTCCGATAATAAGCCTCAAGTTTATTCCATTAAGAATATAAATTAAATAGATTTGAGCACATTCTGCTGATGCTTAAGTAAAACAAACGAGAGCTATATATTAAACTGGAGTATAGGCGAAAGTGATTTCCAGAATTGACTCGTAAATTCGTATGCCCATAAAAATGTCAAATGCAATTGAGTTCTGTGGGGAGCACGTTATAATTTGTGTCTTTTTAAATGCTTTTTATTGTCGATGGCGACTGCAACAATCAGGACACACGCACACACCCAAATATAAAATGGGCAAATATTGAAGATAAATGTTTGCCAAAAAAGGAGCAAAGGAAAGCG